AGTGGATTACATCCCACAGGCTGATCCCCAGCCAACAATTTGCTGTGAAACAAATGCCTTCCTCTTTCCTCAGAGATTTCTTCTAGAAATCTGGGGGAAGGGGCTGAAACCTAAGGCATGTGTGTGTGTGTGTGTGTGTTTAAAAAACATTCTGTAACGTTTTTCCAAATGATTAAATAAAGACTGTGATAGACCAGAGAACAGGTAACAGAATAAATGGACCATCCAGCACCCAACAGAGGCTATTTAATTGTACAGTTTACAGTAAATGGGCACAAGACGTTGGACATAATATAATGATGGCTGACTGGGAACAGTTGTGGACCACAGGTATGAAGTTTACGGCATGTAATGCCCTAAGAGAGAATATTATGAAAATGATATACAGGTGGTACATAACCCCAGTCAAGCTTGCAAAAATCTACCATTTGCCCGATAACAAATGTTGGAAATGTAAAGAAACTGAAGGTACATTCTTTCACCTTTGGTGGACGTGCCCAAGGATTAAGGTTTCCTGGGAGATGATTTATAATGAATTTAAAAAGGTATTTAAATATACCTTCTTGAAGAAACCAGAGGCCTTCCTCCTGGGCATAGTCGGCCAATCGGTGTTAAAGAAGGACAGAACTTTCTTTATGTACACAACAACAACAGCAAGAATACTTATTGCAAAGCATTGGAAGACACAAGACTTACCCACACTGGAGGAATGGCAGATGAAACAGTTTACAGATAGGAGGGGACTGAAATGTGTTGGATTCCAGCAATTTGCTCCCTGCCATCATAGGGGGCGATACTTGAAGTGCAATCACTTTGCCCTGGGAAGAGGATTACAGTGGTACCTCGGGTTACATATGCTTCAGCTTACAGACTCTGCTAACCCAGAAATAGTACCCCGGGTTAAGAACTTTGCTTCAGGATGAGAACAGAAATTGTGCTCCAGCGGTGCGGCAGCAGCGGGAGGCCCCATTCGCTAAAGTGGTGCTTCAGGTTAAGAACAGTTTCAGGTTAAGAATGGACGAACGAATTAAGTACTTAACCCGAGGTACCACTGTACTAGAGTCGCTTGCAAGCTGACTCTGTGCTGTGCATCCTGCCTTGAAAACCGCATTGTTGTTTCTGAGACCTTACTAAACTTTTAAATATGGATGAGCACAGTTCATTCATACGTGTCTGCGAAGGAAATCAAAACTGTGTTTCAGCCTCGCAGTCGCCAGGACCCAAAGGTCAGTGACGTTGCGCCTCTTCGCTGGGATGCTCAATCTCCCTGGCTTTTGCCATCTCTGTTCTCGCTTTGTTTAATAAAGCGAGTTTTAAGTGACTCCCTGCCCCCCACACTCTTCTTATAGCCAGATGACCTTTCTTGGCTCCTAAAATTTTGATATCGCATATTTATTATGGGAAGCAATAACTCACAACGCTGTTGTTCGCTGATACATTCCTTTGGCACACCCAGATGCCTCTTAGACTATGGAGGCTAAACTCATCAAATGCAAACACAAGGGCCATTTCATCCAACTGCGGCAGACTCAAGCAGAGGAAAGGTGATTTCCCCCACAATGAAAACTAGGGATAGGTAACCGGTGACCCCTGGGGGCTTGATTTCTCTCCCCACTCCTCACAATGTCTTCCCATCTAGCCTTCAAAACCAAACCCAGATTTCTTGTGCACCTTAGGCTGCATTCACACAACTGTTCATTCCATCTTCCTGACGTTCCTCTAGCTGTTAATTTCAACAGTATATTTGAGCTTTCCCAAGGCATAAAATGCTTTTGAATTCTGGTGCTGGAGGAGACTCTTGAGAGTCCCATGGACTGCAAGAAGATCAAACCTCTCCATTCTGAAGGAAATCAGCCCTGAGTGCTCACTGGAAGGACAGATCCTGAAGCTGAGGCTCCAGTACTTTGGCCACCTCATGAGAAGAGAAGACTCCTGGAAAAGACCCTGATGTTGGGAAAGATGGAGGGCACAAGGAGAAGGGGACGACAGAGGATGAGATGGTTGGACAGTGTTCTCAAAGCTACCAGCATGAGTTTGACCAAACTGCGGCAGGCAGTAGAAGACAGGAGTGCCTGGCGTGCTCTGGTCCATGGGGTCACAAAGAGTCGGACACGACTAAACAACAACAAAGGCATAAAAGCAAGGACCAGCAGATCTCATATTCAGGGACTACGTACATCCAGTTTGTGTTGAACATTTGCAAGCTGAAATCCTACTGCCCTAGTATGTCCATTCAGTTTATACCAACACAGCCTCTGTATAGTTCTATAGTCCTCCCCTTATGTTCTTCATCCGCTCTCTCTCTCTCATTTGTCTGGGTCACGCAGAGGAATTAGCAGCTGACATGCACAGGGACGGATTTGCTACACATCCTCTCTTGCTATTCATATGGAGAGGGAAGTGAATTGCAAAGCTCTTTGCCTGCTTGGAAACATCTTTTAACTCATTTCCTCTCCCCTGGACTGCCCACATTAGGCTGCTTGGAAACTCACTTGTTCACAAACACACTTAGGGGGGGAAATCCTATGGCAAGATCCACCAGGATGAGCAGTTTAAGTAGGCAGCGGATCTCCAGCTCTGTTAGGAGCTTCACAGCTTAGCCGGTGTTACATTCCCAGCCCCACCCTAGCTGAAGACATGCCAGCACAACTTGCACATCCCAGCTCAGTCTGGGCTGAGTGGAGACTGGTGTAAATCTCCCAAAGTGGGTATTCTGGGGGCAGGCGCAGGCAAGCAGGACTTAAGCTGGATCCAATCTCTGGTAGTTGCATCAGAGGTGCGTTTGGGCAGAAGGACCCATTTCCCCCCCACTGGGTGCCGAGCCAAGGTGGGGGGGTGCATCACAGGGTGCTGCAGATACAATGTAGTGCATGCACAGAACAGAAGGCAAGAGGCAGGGGGTACAAATTTTTGGCCTTGCACAGGGCGCCACTGAAATTGAAAGGATCAAAGCCCGCCCCTGATTGCATGGCCAGGAGAAAATGGTAGTGTGAGTCAAACTGTATTTTAAAGGCTTGTTTTCCCACTGACAGACTAAGGATGGCTTGGCAAGCAGTGTCCTGGCTCCAACACACTCTCCAACATCTCTCTGACGAAAATAGGGATGTCCTGTCCCATAATAATGCTGGCTGGCAATAGCGTATTTATTTATTTTGCACTGGTTGCAAAATTTGCCTTGGCTGCAAGTAAGTTGAGAGCTAGGCACCAAGACAAGAATGATAAGGGGGAGTGTGAGATGTGGAGTGCTTAAGTTATACAGGTGTGATTTTTGCATTTTTGTATGTTTGCTTTGCTGCTGTTGTTCAGTTTTAAAACAATTATTTGTATTTTATGCATTGTGACCAATTGTGATGGCTTATAGCTTTTCGCAATAAAGATTTCATTGATTCATTCATCATCTTCATAATTTTATTTTTTTATAATCCACCCAACATAGGTGACTTCCAACATATATAAAAACAAAATAAAACATTAAACATTTAAAAAAAAACCCTTCCCTATACAGAGCTGCCTTCAGATGTCTTCTAAAGGTTGTATTGTTACTTATCTCCTTGGCTCAGGGGTCGCATAACTCCAACCCTCCGATGAAAATAGGGACATCCTATCATACCCTCCAACATTTATCTGATTAAAATAGGAACGTCCTAAGGAAAAGCGGGACATTCCGGGATCAAATCAATCAATCAATCAATCAATCAATCAATCTTTATTACGGTCCAGAGACCCAACAAATCATTACAAAGCAATGCACAATTCAGACAGCCTACCTTCAGGTTTGGGACGTGGGTGGCACTGTGGGTTAAACCACTGAGCCTAGGGCTTGCCAATCAGAAGGTCAGTGGTTCGAATCCCCACGATGGGGTGAGCTCCCGTTGCTCGGTCCCTGCTCCTGCCAACCTAGCAGTTCAAAAGCACACCAGTGCAAGTAGATAAATAGGTACCGCTCCGGCGGGAAGGTAAATGGCGTTTCCATGCGCTGCTCTGGTTCACCAGAAGTGGCTTAGTCATGCTGGCCCCATGTACGCCAGCTCCCTTGGCCAATAAGGCGAGATGAGCGGCGCAACCCCAAAGTCAGTAACTACTGGACCTAATGGTCAGGGATCCCTTTACCTTTACCTTTACCTGCAAGTTAAACAAGCATTTTGTGGATCAAATCAGAAACTGGGATGGCTTCTGTAAATCCTAGACTGTCCCTGGAAAATAGGGGCACTTGAAGGATTTGCTTTGATTTTGCATAACTTTACGCTGGCTTAATTTATGCCAGCTTGCTTCACACCAGCTTTTTGAGTATAGGATTGCTCCCATTTTTGTTTATTTTCTAAGTGACTATATAGCAAATCGGGGGGAGAACTAACCTGAAGCTTTTGAAGTGATGTGTTAGGTTTGTGTGTGTGGAGAGCCTTAGCATTTACGCAAGGGAAACAAGCCATCTAATTGTGAAGGCTCTGCCATTGCCTGTCAAATGACCTAAAAAAGCAAGAGAATTGTTCGGAGGCCGACATAAATGTCCTTCTGGCCAAAACTGTTCTGCATCTGCCGTCAATAAAAGATTCAGGAGCAGTGAAGGACTTTAAAGCTGGGGAAAGCAAAGCCCAGACTGATCCGTAATGGAATTCGATTCACTGCCACAGAAGGACCATTACTAGTGTCTTATTGTAGCATTGATGGCTTTGGGGTAACCACCGTGTGTGCACAACCCCAGAGGAGAGCAAGTTTTTCCTCCTTGATGAAAAGGACATTCCAGCTAAGGAGTGAAAGGACAGCAAGGGAACGCCATAGCAAGTGGTTCTTTTTATTGCCAGCAGATCAATATGTCATAGTCCATGGCATTTCTAAAAACAGAGAGCAGGAAAACACCGAGGCAGCAACAAGGAACAGAGGAAGCTGCCTTATCTACTGAGTCTGAGCATCGGTCCATCTATCTCAGTATTGTCTACACTGACTGACAGCAGTTCTCCAGGGTTTCAGGCAAACAGGAGATTGTGGAGAATGAACCAGCTGGGTGGCTCAGCTGGTTAGACCGTGGTGCTGATCATGCCAAGGTTGCAGGATCGATCCCTGCGTGAGACAGCTGCATATTCCTGCATTGCAGCAGATGATGCTCAGGGTCCTACAAGTCTATGATTCTGTGATTCTAACCTATGGAGTGCAAAGCAGATGCTTTATCACTGAGCTTTGCAACAGAACCATTGAAATAGGAGAGACTTGTAGTTATTTTACTGAGACACAGTTCTCTTCCCCACCCCACCCCTCCTTGTGTGTGGGTGGCGCTGTGGTCTAAACCACTGAGCCTCTTGGGCTTGCCGATCAGAAGGTTGGCAGTTTGAATCTGTGTGATGGGGTGAGCTCCCGTTGCTCTGTCCCAGCTCCTGCCAACCTAGTCGTTCAAAAGCATACCCGCGTGAGTAGATAAATAGGTACCACTGCGGCGGGAAGGTAAACGACGTTTCCTTGTGCTCTGGTTTTCACAGTGTTCCATTGCGCCAGAAGCAGTTTAGTCATACTGGCCACATGACCCGGAAAGCTATCTGTGGACAAACGCTGGCTCCCTCGGCCTGAAAGTGAGATGAGTGCCACCACCCCATAGTCGCCTTTGACTGGACTTATCCACCCAGGGGTCCTTTACCTTTTACCTTTTGTATGTGCATGCAATTGCCAAAAATCGAAAAGGAGTCCAAATAAGGTTTCTCATCACACGTGTTGGACTAGAATTACTGGCCATCATGTTTTTTTCCAAACCCCCAATTGATGCTTTTCATGGCAAAACCAGAAGAGAGGTATTTGCAGCAGAGAACCATCAATCAGCTGGAGGGTTACTTGACCCTTCCCTCACTTGTTACCTTAGTCATGCAACTCCCTCCACCCCAACAATCTTTTTTCACTAGGTCAGAGGTGGGGAAAGTACACTGCTCACAGCTAGACTATGACTCTCGCTCACACAGGAGGCAGTGACACTCACCAGTGGCAGACCTTGGAGTCTCAAATTTCAGCGGCGCCCTGTGCGGCACCAAAATTTGGGGCCCCCACACTGCTTCTTGCCTTCCATTCTACATCTCTGTTGGTCACCCTCCCCTAAATCTGCCTCTGCAGCCACTCACTTTCATGGCTTTAAAAGAGGATCGGACCAATTCATGGAAGATAAGGCCATCAATGGCTGCCAGGCATGATGGCTATGCGTTGCATTCATGGCAGGAAACAGCAATACTTCTGAATACCAGTTGCCAGAAGCTGCAAGAGGGCAGAGGGTTCTTGTGCTCAGGTCCTGTGTACAGGTTGATCAGAGACATCTGTTTGGCCACCGTGAGAATGGGATGCTGATGTTAGAATTCCTGCTCCATGATTGCAGTCATGGGATTTTTGTCTTTCACATGACAGTATATGCTTTGACTCCACAGAGTGGGATGTGATGGAAACAGGATGTGTGTTTTACTGTGTTCCGTGAAGTGGGACTATTGTCCTCCCCCCCCCCTTTGCTGTCTGATGGTAGAGAAAGAGAGAGCCATGTTGCAGTGCTCCGTGTGTGTTTATATGTAAAGAAAGTAGATGAGCCAACATGCTGAGTTGCTGAGGTCTGTCATGCACATGCTGCACACACGCTGTGGATCCCTAAGTGTGCTGGTGTCGGTTGGCATCGGTTGCTATGATGTTCAGGCTCAAGGAAGCTTTTGAAGCTCCCGAACGAAAGACCAGGAGGGAGAGAACACGCCAGTTGGGCATGTGTCTCTGCCAGGGTCCTACTCGAGTGTAGGCCGAACTCCTGACAGCTGAGAACTAGATAAGCCATTGCCTCGACCTCACAGCCTCTTCCTATGTGCTTTTTAATGCCCACCTCCCACACTTCTGTAGAGGAAACCTTCACAGAATGTTATTCCAGAGGATGAGCAGCAAGGAGAGAGAAACCCGTTTGCTATGTTGGTACATCCACTTCAGATTGGAATGGATTGATTGCTCTGATCACTCATTACATTGACAGAGATGTGATCAATACATTCCCCCACCCCACCTCCCACAAGCCGCTCCCGAAATCCATTCCCTATAGTATGTCTGATGTGAGCTTTCCTTGCAGTTTGACGCTTGCAAAGTGTTTTGCTGCAAGTGATCAGATTAGACCTGAAATGTTTACTATTTGCAAGCTAATTTCAGTTCCCTCGCAGAGCATACGCCGGGGGTAAGCTTGATTAAAATAGACAATTGACTTTTTGATTTATGCTGTACTTTGAGGGGCAACGTAACGGCCCCCGACGGATAATTAGATGAAGCGTGCAGAGCTCGGCGTGCAGGAGGGAAGGAGTCCTCCTGGCCAGTCTGCCACCTAGCATTATGGAGCTGAGCAGAGTATGAAGGGAACTGTCACCAAGCAAGGCTTTGAAGTCAAAAGGCACAGAGGTAACATGCCCAGTCTCCGGGTGCTGGAATATGACCTTGAGACATCTCCTGTAAATGCCAAGCAATCTGGCTATATCCACCAACTTATATGGCTTGCTATATTCTCTGCATTGTAAAATGCAGCTCTTGAAATATTGCTCCTGGACTGCAATGCCTCTATTAAAAGAAAGAAAAAAATCCATCAGCAAGGGGGATTTTACACACTTTACACCCACACCCACACCCACACACACACACACACCAATAATTTTCAAGCCTTATGCACAGGGCTGAGTGCGTTCATTAGTATCAGAGCACTTCATTGCCATATTTCCATGCCAAAAGTTTTGCTAAGGAGACCCATTACATAAATTAAGTATATCTTTTATGATGGCTCCAATTTATAAGGTGCATAGCACTTTTAATATGCAACACGCAGGTGACAAATTGGAAGGCTTGGTATATTGTATCCTTTATTGCGTTCACCTTCCTAATATCCTTGTTATGTCGGACACTATTTCCATTCTATACATGGGAAACTGAGGCAGGCAAAGTGCGTGTGACATGGCCAAGCCAACACTGTCCTTCAGGGCAGAAGTGCAATCTGAACATGCATCTCCCAGATCAACATCCAGGTGTTTAGCTTCTGGGTGACACATTTATGCCTTTTTATTGCCTCTGGCAATAGGACTTCGAAACAAAACCCAACCATATTAGAAGATACAAACCATGGAGATTTCAGTATTAAATCATGGTTACAAGGTTGGGTGATGGACATGATCAGAGATGCCTTTGAAAAAAAGATGATGCTTCAACGTCCCTCTCTCATAATACAGTGGTACCTCGGGTTAAGAATTTAATTCGTTCTGGAGGTCCATTCTTAACTTGAAACTGTTCTTAACCTGAGGTGCCATTTTAACTAATGGGGCCTTCCACTGCCGCCACACAATTTTTGTTCTATCCTGAAGCAAAGTTCTTAACCCAAGGTACTATTTCTGGGTTAGCAGAGTCTGTAACCTGAAGCATCTGTAACTTGAGGTACCACTGTACTAGAACCTGGGGTGATCCAGTGAATCTGAATATTGAAAGATTCAGGAGATACACAAGGAAGTTCTTCATGCAGCACATAGTGTGGAGTTCTCTCCCAAAAGTGATGGCTACCAACCTCAATGGCTTTAAAAGAGGATTGGACAAACTTATGGAGCATAAGGCTATCAATTGCTTCTAGACGCAATGGCTGTGTTCTACCTCCAGTGTTGAAGCACTATGCTTCTGAATAACAGCTTGCAGACTTCCGATAAGCACCAGGTTGGCCAAGGCCGTCTTTACCTGAGGTGCAAGGGGTGCGGGGCACCTGGGTGCTGAATTCTGGGGGATGCTGAAACCGCCTAAGCTCTTAACGATCTACCTATTATGAAACAATAAATAATTTTGATCAAGCTGACATTCAAAGCAGGCCGCCACTGCTGCCTCCACCCTGGTGGCTTTCTCGTCCCCGGAGTCCCACCCTGCATGGAGAGGCGCCGTGGCTGCTGTGTCCCTCTTCTTCTCCTTCCTCATCCTGGAGAGTTTTTAAAAGTGCCTGGATGTGAAGCCTTTGCGGAGCTCAGGCGCCCCGGTTCTTGAGGGGCGATGGCAGCAAGACTCGGAAGAGCAGGCCACCGCCACCGCCGCCATGACCTTGCCTGCAACTGCGGAGAAGTATATCTTGGGTGTAGATGTGGACAGCACTAAATTTGGGGGTGCTGGGTGGCTCGTTGCACCCCGGCGGCACATAAGCTAAAGACGGCCCTGAGGTTGTCCATTATGAGAACAGGGTTCTGGGTTACTTTGACCTTTGACCTTCATCCAGCAGACTCTTCTGAACTTCAACAGCAATTAGCCATAACTGCTACAAATGGAATAGCCATATTGTATTCTCCTCTGATAAATTAACGCAAGGGCAAACTCACAGCCTGTCCGCAGTAATACATATATTGGTAGAACATTATTTGATTACCGTAATGCATTCTAATCAATGCACTGCATAAAGTGCAACCCCAGAAACATCAGTAGTTAGCAACAACAACAACAACAACAACAACAACAACACTATACTGCTTCACCTTTTCCATTTTTGAGGTGAGTTTACCTCCCACAGACCTATAGTTCCCGGCAACTGTAATAAACTACAGTTCCCAATATAACTTGGGAATTATAGCAACAGAACTACCTAAACTGTATAGAAACTTATTCATGTACACTACTACAGTGGCAATAATGTTACTCGCCCCAAAATGCAAAGAAGCAGAAGTCCCAGCAAAGGAAGAATGGATACGAAGACTTATGGAATATGCAGAAATGGCGAAACTTACTGGAAAAATAAAAAATCAAGATAACAAACTTTTTATAAAATAATGGAAATGGTTTGTTGCATATTTACAGATAAACTGTAAACAGATAAGAACATTGGCAGGATTATTGTAATAACCTGCAGTTTTATAAGAGTATATATTTAAAGTAGATGAATAAATGAGCAAATTAAGTTAATTTGGATATGCAGAAGATAGTAAAAATAATTTTAAGGAACTGCAAAAGAAGGGGAAGGAAGTTGAGTTTTGAAATGTTCAAATGATTGTAAAATTTGTGAAATGTATAAACCTGAAAAGCATAAATAATTTTTTTAAAAACAAGCAAAATTATTTGGTGGAAGTCAGGTGCTTTAAATGGATTGTGTTTATGCAGCCTTAGCTTCAGTGGATGACTCTGGGTTCTGGTGGTGACTATTGTCTGACTCTCAGCCTTATTGGAAACATAAAATTCTGAGTTTTCTGCTTTCAATATGTGGTGCTAATCATTTTGGAATGGCTCCTAATAGAGCCTGCAAATACTACACATCTGATAGCACAAGTCATTCTCTCTATTTGCAAAGGGGCTGTCATAGAACATTTTGCTAGCTGATAGCAATGACTCCCTGGCCACATTCTCCTTGAAAAATACCACTCTTGCCTTCAACACTTTGGGGATGTAAAAGTCTATGGGATTTCCAATGGGCTATCCCTGGGTTCTTCGGTTTACTGACTCCATTATTATCCATTTGTCTGGCCTCCTCCTTCCTTTTCTCCTTTCATAATAATCAACAGCAGCCGGTTTCTTGATAGAGATGGGAGATCCGTATTGGCAGCTGCAACAATTGGATCACAAAACAGTTTGATTAGTGCATAATGAGAGTCGCCGGTAACTGATAAACAGCTCATTATTGTGTAAGAAGGATGGTGCCATCTGGGAGTTTGCATCTTTTTACTCCCTCTTTCTTTTTTCTGCATGCCCCCCCCCCCCCGGAATTTCATACACGAAGCAGTCATAGCATTTGACTAAGAAGAAATGTGTTGACAACTTATTAAGACTCTGCAAGTTTCTCCTTCCCCTTTCCTTATGTCATTACAAATTAAGGTGGGGCGGGTTGCATCAGTTAGAGAGGTACAAATAACCCAAGGGAAAACACTGGCGATCCTTTCATGGAAAGCGAAAAGAATCTTGTTAAGACTGATAAGATTTACTGGGGAAGGAGGTCAAGGCCTCTTTTGCAGCAAGATGTCAAAGCACCTAGGCCGGTGGTTCCCATTTGGTGGTCTGCAGATGGTTCCCACAGGGTGTCCGAAGCACCATTCACATAACAAAAACTACCATAGAGATATGGTAGGGTGACCATGGTTTGGCTTTTGAAAAACAGGGGGTCCGCCGTACTTGGCTAATTGGGAATCCCTGACCTAGGGTGTATCACTTCAGGTAATAAGTCAGAGATTCACAAGTCTGGATTCTCAGTACAAAACGAGTCCCTGCAGATAAGAATATTATGATGATGATGATGATGATGATGATGAAGGGTGCAACCTGGGGAGAGGATTCCAGAGCCCAGATAAAGGCACCAGGAGAGCACCATCCAGTCCCCACCCCTCGCCTACAGTCACGATCAGAGAAAGAGGTGGGAACTTATATCCACAAAAACTGGCCTGTATAGCAAAACCAAACATCCTAACTCTTTGACCCAATGCTCCTTTGTGATTTGGGTAAGACGCTCAACTTCCCTGGCTCAAGGTAGAGGGCTGCCAGATACCACCTGCTTAACGTAGCTCCTGGCACCATTTCCACAGTGTCTTTAAGCTCTCCTGGCTTTTAACCAGCTCACTGGGATAACAGCAGGTGCAATCGCCTGATGCCATGAATCTGCAGTAGAGCCAGGTTGAAAATTCAAGTATCCCTGGCTCTCGTTGCTGCGTTTTGATTCCAGATGTCTGTCTGGGGTGGCCCCAGGAGCTCTATTTTCTCTTAATCAGAATCTAGCAACCGTCCTGGCTTAGGAGGAGAAAAAACACACAGAACCATATATATCCACCATTTGGATTCAATTTGGGAGAAACTCCCAAATACTAAGTGCCTCTCCAGACATAATGAGCCACTAGAGGCTGAAAAATTGGAGCGGGGATTTAGCACACGCAGAAGTTTTGTGGGAGAGTTTTGAGCCATTAGGTCTCTCTCGCAGACCGGCTCATATCAAGATCAGGGGGACGTTTAGTGGCTGTGTGGTGTATTCTGATCCCTGCCTCGTTAGAAAGAGAAAGGCAAAAAATACTGAATAGACTGGGAGTGGAGGGGAAGGCAGGATTTCTGTACTTTTCATGGAGGAAAGGGCTACCAGCCATGGTATCTAGGTTCTGCCTCCACAGCTTCTGAATGCTTCTGAATTCCAGCTGCTGGAAACCACAGGAGGGAAGAGTGTTCAAATCCTACTTGAGGGTTTCCCAATGGCATCTGGTTGGCTGCTGTGAGAACAGGATGCTGGACAAGATAGCGAATTGGCCTGATCCAGTGGGTTCTTCTTACGCTGTTGTGCTGAGTGAACCCACTTCCTCCCGTGTGAACCTTCCTACCTATTAAGTCAGGGGTCACAGACATGGCACTATGCCCACCAGAACTGTCCATGGCTTCTTGGTCTTGGTATAAATCCCCTTAACAATCCACAATGCACGAGAAACTTTTGCTCTTCTTGATCAGATCCTGACACAACATCCCCTACATTGAACACACACACCCTTAACCATGTCCACGTTTCACTGGATGCCAGGATTGGGTGCCCACCTTCACCTTCTGTTCTGAACAGAGGACAGGTGCAAAGAGCTGTTGCATGATGTAGTTGCCTTTCCTCCCTCTGAAAGGGGTGTCCGCTGGCCCCAGAAGACCGATGGTCCCTATTTTGACATCATTATTGGAGACTGTTTTCTAGGAGTCCTAACCATTTCCATGTTAAACTGAGCAGATGCAGTTGCTAAGAAAGGCCAATATAATCTTAGGCTACCTTAACAGAAGCATAACATCTAAATCGCAAGAAGTAATAGTTCTGCTGTATTGTGAGTAAACTAAACGACTAAATGACTAAACGACTAAACAACAATAACATTGTGAGTTTTTGTTGTTGTTTAGTCGTTTAGTTGTGTCCAGCTCTTCGTGCCCCCATGGACCAGAGCACACCAGGCACTCCTGTCTTCCACTGCCTCCCGCAGTTTGGTCAAACTCCTGCTGGTAGCTTCAAGAACACTGTCCAACCGTCTTGTCCTCTGTCGTCCCCTTCTCCTTCTGCCCTCCATCTTTCCCATCAGGGTCTTTTCCAGGGAGTCTTTTCTTCTCATGAGGTGGCCAAAGTCTTGGAGCCTCAGCTTCAGGATCTGTCCTTCCAGTGAGCACTCAGGGCTGATTTCCTTCAGAATGGATATGTTTGATCTTCTTGCAGTCCATGGGACTCTCAAGAGTCTCCTCCAGCACCATAATTCAAAAGCATCAATTCTTTGGTGATCAGCCTTCTTTATGGTCCAGCTCTCACTTCCATACATCACTACTGGGAAAACCATAGCTTTAACTATACAGACCTTTGTTGGCAAGGTGATGTCTCTGCTTTTTGCTTGTGAGTTTTAGAACACTGATGTTCCAAGGTTCTAAAGCACAATCCATAACTACAGAAAGCTCTTTGCTTCAGACTTTCACCTCCCAAGAACTGGAAGGTGAGAGTAATGGCATCAGAAGGGCTGGAGCTAGCACACTGATACTCACTGTCCACCTTGCATTTGAATCGAAGAGGGCTTTATTCTTTTCATCTGGTCACCCACTACATTTGAGCCAAGTTGTATAACTGGTGGAAAACCTGCAACCTGTGGGCCTAATCAGGCCTGCCAGTCCTCATTCAGCCCATGAGGCCATTTTCGCCAAGCCATATCCACCACCCCTGCCCCCCTGATATATACAGGTGATTATCAATGCCTTCAAAGCAAGTTTTCAGCTGAGCCACATCTTTACCTGCCCTACACTTTATGGCTTTTAGAACAAGTGATGTGGCTTGGCCAAACTGCCCATCAACCTGCTCATTGACACTGGGGCATCGCAGCCAATGATCCCAAAGGAAAGGGGCTTGGCACACAGTGCCTGTCAGATGATCAGAGGGGTTTGCATAGGGCACTTCACCTGCCCACACAATTTGATGTAAAACTGTGCAAGGTAGTGTCACATTCTGGTCTGATTCCAGTGCCTACAGGGAAAGCAGCAAGGCTGCAGGACCACGGACAGCTCCAAATGAGCAACTTGCTCTGACAAAGCTTGGGTGTGGACTGAGGTCTTTTATGCGTCTGTCTCTAGACCACCTCCTTCAGGCTCCATCCACTTGATAGAACCTCAAAGCCTTAAAATGCCAGCCCTCTGGCCTGAAGATGGGCGCTCCTCCTGCATTCCATAGCCTCCCTCCTGGTGCGCTGCTGGACTGATGATGTGTTATTCATCTGGTTATTCAGGTGCAGGAAAGAGTGTTCATGGCAGTCCAGGCTCTATCCCCATAGGCCCATGGGGTTATGGGAGGTTCTTGTGGTAGCTCTTCTCCAACTGACTCAGGTGCAATGGTCACCCTATCTTCTGCAGTCAGCTCCGAACCCTGATCCAGACATGACCCCCATCTGGTACCCCAGCAGTTCCTGGCTCTATGTCCAGATCACAGCTGGATAGAGGAGCAAAGGAAATTGGGTCATGTGCCATCACTGTGACATCAGGGGATTGGCAAGCAAACAGCCTGTCAAACTTGACTCACATGTCAAACCAGGCTCAAGGTCGTGAGGAGGGGGGGTAAGGTTCAGGGCCACAATCCCAATCTAGTTCCCTACCCATATTTTAAGTGAAGGGGAATAAGGTGGAAATATTACTTCTCGCCAACTTTTATCTCCTCAGAGCAATTTTGCAGAGAAAACTTTTTTTAAAAAAATGTCTTTCTGCAAAGTCTTACATAACAATCAACTGATTATATGAATAACCATATTTTTCAGACACTTTCATGCAATTATGAATAAATCAATTAATGAGCTCAGCTGTGCATCCACATTTACATGTCGATCACTTACCTGATTGTGTCAAATTCTTAGCTGGAGAAGATTTAATAATGGGAATCATCAGAAATTTTGACAAAGGGTCGGGCCTGTTGGTTTTTATATATTAGTAATGTGTTCTATTAGATTTGCCCCAGCTTTTCACCAAGGAGGGTCCCTTATTTTACCCTAGCAAAGGGTGAGATGTGGCAACTGTCTCAGGGTAATCCAGTGAGCCTTGTGGCTAAGCAAGCCTTTAGATCTAGGCATTGTTAGAAGATCTCTGTTCCCCTCATGGAGCTACAGTTTCCACAGTGGTTTAACTACCAGTGGGGGGAACCATGACTGTGGTAAGATACTGCTTTAAATGAATAGTGCCAATGAGGCCTTAGGTAAAGGTAAAGAGACCCCTGACCATTAGGTCCAGTCGTGACCGACTCTGGGGTTGCAGCGCTCATCTCGCTTTATTGGCCGAGGGAGCCGGCGTACAGCTTCCGGGTCATGTGGCCAGCATGACGAAGCCGCTTCTGGCGAACCAGAGCAGCGCACGGAAACGCCATTTACCTTCCTGCCGGAGCGATACCTATTTATCTGCTTGCACTTTGACGTGCTTTCCACCTGCTAGGTTGGCAGGAGCTGGGACCGAGCAACTGGAGCTCACCCCGTTGCGGGGATTCGAACCGCCGACCTTCTGATCAGCAAGTCCTAGGCTCTGTGGTTTAACCTACAGCGCCACCTGCATCCCTAATGAGGCCTTAGTTATTGTATTAGGAAGCTGCCAAGATGCCATCTGGCCCAGACCCTGGAGAGACCTATTCGGAAGAAGAACCTTGGAACTCATGGAGAACCACATCCCACCAAAAGACCTGGAGGAACCCAAAGTAGCCCCAAGGAAGGCTGAAGTGCCCCATCTCAGGCATGCTTCATCTGGGGCCCCCAATAGCCCTTTCAATAACATCCTGAGACCTGCCTTGATACGTTAATGTGCCCCAAGATAGAAACCAGTAGCGGACCCAACAAAAATCACAGATTTGCCAGATGAGTGCCTATTTGGCTGCCAGGCAGCACTCTCACAATGAATCTACTAAAGAATACAGGTTGACTGGTTCTGATTGTGACTAGTAGGACAGGGAGACTAACAGCAGGTGGAGCAGTAGGCAATAACAGATAGAGCCAAGTAATTCTAGATTTGCCCACATCTTCCTCCCTGCTGAATTTTACAAGGGCAACACTGAAAGTTGGATGTAAGTAAGAAGATAGGCAGGTGGAGGTGATGGGCAGCACCCCAGTCAACTTGCTGTACCATCCTCCACTGGCCTACTTCAGAAGAGGTAGAAGATCATGGGTTGGCAAACTAAGGCCCAGGGACCAGATTTGGCCCAATCACCTTCTAAATCTGGCCCATGGACAGCCCAGGGATCAGCGTGTTTTTACATGAGTAGAATGTGTCATTTTATTTAAAAGGCATCTCTGGGTTATTTGTGGGGCATACGAATTCGTTCATTCCCCCTCAAAAAATATAGTCCATCCCCCCACAAGGTCTGAGGGACAGTGGACTGGCTCCCTGCTGAAAAAGTTTGCTGACCCCTGTAGAAGACCAAGTTCCAAGGAATGACCCAAAAGAGGACCAGATAGAGTGTGCCTATATAGAGACTCATCCAAACCTTTGCTGGGCTAATAGTTCCCTTCTGAGCTCACTAGCCTCCAAGTTCTTCCTGGTTCAATTTGCCCTTCAGTCTCCACACCAGATGCTGATCACAGACCAGGCGGTCAGAGAATGACTGAATGAGCAGAGGTGCTCCTATTTTGCAATGGCCCTGCTCCTGGGCTCATTACAGTTTGCTCAATTAAAGTGGAATAATGTACTCTGTTGTTCAGGAGCAACAAGGCCATCTTTTTAAAAAATAAACATTTTGCTGTTAGGAAAGCGGTGGAGGAAATGCACTGAAGTGTGGACAAATGATTAATGAGAAGACATCTAAGCCATAGCTGTCAACTTTTCCCTTTTCTTGTGAGGAATCCTATTCGGAATAAGGGAATTTCCCTTTAAAAATGGGAAAAGTTGACAGCAATGATCTAAGCACCATGCAAGCAAATCCGGATGCATGTTGATTGTCATACAACCTGCCTGCAAGCAAAACAAAGACCAGACATAGTCTAACCTCTGCAGAAACTCTGTGCAAAGAAATTTGGATGAATGCTCATTAAGTAGGTTTTCTGAAAGAGATCATGAGAGAGAGATCATGAGATCATGAGAGAGAGAGAAAGAGCGCACTGTACTGTTGTACAGTTCCTACTACACTGTTTTGTAAATAAAATATGATGATAATGTCTGCCGCAAACTATTTCTGGACTAAATCAGACATTATTTCAGATGAGATTTGGATCAGGGCTATGGATGTATGATTTTTTGGGGGGGGGGGTTAAACCTTGTTCCACTGCCAGTCCAAGTTACTCCACACCCCTGCCCTGCAATGAATTTAGCAAAAAAGAGAGAAGACAATTCACACACTTCTAACATCTCCTCTGGT